GCCTGGCGCGATATGGTTCATGGGGTCACGAAGAGTCAGACACGACTTAACAACTGAACAAGAAGAAGAAGAAGTTTTGGTAGATCAACCCCAAGACACAAATTGGCACCAACTGTTACTTATTAAGGCAACACAACAACAAAGAAAAACACATGTGGGGATTAGGTGTAAAGGACAGAATTATACTGCAAAAGAGTGTGAACAAAGGAAAAATGGGTATGCAGATCCATCTCAGATAGTTATTAGGTCTCCGAGGGAAAAAACAGCTTTGAAGGAAACTGGGCACTTATACAACCAAATCCTAAAGCCACTCCATCTGCTTACTCTTAACAGTCTGATATGGGTTACATATTCCTGTGTCCTGGAAGATTTCACCACACAACTGAGGTAGCACTTAGATGCTTTTCTTCCCCTCAGCTCCCCAGAAAATTCAAAAGAATTAAAGCCTTCATCAAACTCCTCCCCCATTACTTAAAGAGAAGTTGCTAAGGGATTCAACCCACCACCTGCCCCAGGTTTTCTTTGCTAGAGGTAGAAGGAACTGATTTATAGGTAAATTCTTGATGCATTCTGACCCAACAGGAATCTCTAGACGTTTGCACTGTTAGAGGTGCTTGTTATAAACAGTAACCATACCTCATTTTTTCATCTGGTAACTTCCCTAATAGATTGTAGAATGGACAATATGACAATTAAGCAGATGCATAGTTGGGTTGAAAAGCATACTGAAAAGACATCCATCATTTTTTATCAAATTGGAGAGTGATATTAATTGGGTGCCAAAAGGTTCAATACTGCATCCTCTACTCCTCAATAATTTTATTAATGATTTGAATGAAGAAGCTGAGGCAGAACCTCTAATTTGCAGATGACATAAAATTGGAATTGCTAATATGCTAAAAGATAGAAATAACATTCAAAATAATCTTGGTAAGTTGGAAAACTGGACTGAAAGTAACTTGAAATTTAATAGGGAAAAGTACGAAGTTTTCTACTTAGGAACAAGAAATCAAATGCACAGATAGTTGATTGCAAATCATGTTTATGTAATTTGATTTCCAAATTGCATTAAGTAATCAGTCTACTTTGAGTGAGATTGACCTCAATATTGTATCCAGTTCTGCGCACCACCCTTTATTGGAACAGTTTCAGAGGGCAGACAAAAGTAATCAGGACTTGAAAATAAATCCCATTAAGAAAGATGGGAGGTGTTGGGTATCTTTTGTCTTAAAAAGATTTAGACTGGGGGTGTTAAAGTACTTAAAAGAATATCACACTCAAGTAGCATCAAGACCTGCTCTGTGATGTTTCATACTAATGAAAAACCGAATTTAACAGAAAGCAGATATATTCTATTATTTGTGCAAAATTTATACAAACAAAAGTATTCCTTTTATGTGATGTATATTTATATTTAAATTTATACGTTTGTATAAGTATGTTCAGATATACATGAATACATATTTATATGCATTTATACTTTATTCAGGTATTTATTTTGTAATATAGAATAGTTTATATTTATTTGTGATCCCTGAAATACATGGAACTTGCCTCAGTAATATAAGCAGCTTATACGAACATATAAAGCCTTAGAATCTAAAAATAATTGCCCTATCTACTCCTTATTACTCACATTACTGAAACATGCAAATCATAGCTATAGAACTCGCTTTACCTAAAGAAAAGCTTGCAGGCTGAGAACAATCGTATACCGAAACTGCACCCAATGGTGGAACTAGGGAGTTTTGCATGGTGCAAATGAGCGGGAAGATATTGTTACTGCATCAAAGCCACCCAGTCCGAGGTGACAATTCAGAACGGAAAGCATCTGCGACCGAGCTCTCCTTTTCGTTCGGGACGAGCGAGATCTCTGCGCCCTGTTTTCGGCACCTCCTCCCTCTTCTGCCCCGAAGCCTCGGCAGCGATTCAGGTGCCCCCTCCCCGGTTCCCAGCATGCAATCGTAACCCCACCTCCTTACTCCAACTACCACCTCCTCATTTATTTCCACCCGCGAGCGGCAGAGTTTCCATCTCGCTGCCTTTTCTCCTCCGGGCGGAGGGTCTGCAGACATGGCTACGAGGCAGCAGCTGGGTGAGTCTTTCGATCGCCACGCCTGGCATCTCGGCGCTGCGGGTTCGCTGCCCTGCAAAAGTTTTGCTCTCTTACTTTCGCAGCAGCAGAACACGCCCCTCGCTGAAAGGAGAACGGAGCACCAACCGTTTTATGATTGGCTCAGCGGAGGGCTCCTCTTTAGCCTGCTGCAGGCGGTGTGCTCAAATTGCCCCCTAGCTTGGCAAGGCTTTAATTGGGTCCGACCCTACCAGAAGCAAGCCTCGCTACCTGTATTGGCGCCTTCTCCCATATGACTAAATACAGGGTTGCGTTCTCAGATGAAGGGAAACTGGTGCACAAAAGCTGCAGAAGCTAGGAAATACAAGATCTGCATGGACTACTTGTTCATTGTGTGGTAAAAATCAATGTGCAAAGTTAATCAGTATCCTGATAGGTTAAAAGTTTTAACCCCGCCCCGTCCAAGTTGTAAATTAAGGCCCACTTTGGAGATCGCCAGAATCAGGGGGAGTTCTGTTCCTTGGTTGAATCCTTTTCAGCTATTGGTGGAAGGTTGTATTTTTCGATGCCTCCCCTTTGGCTCCCGAGGAAAGCAATTCCTCCCTTGTTTGCTGGTTTCCTTTTTGCAGATGTATTGGGGAAGAGCTTTCAAATATGCAGGGACAATTTGCAGTCTAAAATGTAAAGTGCAACACATTCTTCGCCATTTGATTCTCAGGACTCTGAGGTGCAGATTCGCAAACTCAGAACTAAATAGTTGCCTTTTGAATCCTATTGAAGGACACAGTACAAACCAACACATTCTTAAGAGTGGGGGAGCTATTATCTCCCGTTGTGAAGCACCCTGGATGACTGCTTGGAATGGCAGGAAGAAGTGTGAGAAATAAAACAAATACACAGTCCCACCAACTGCCCTTCTTTCCACTTTTTATTCAGGACTAAATAGAGCCTTTTTTTGGTTGGATTGCAAAATAGGTACAACAATCTGCAATTGGATTAGGGCTGTAGTGCTGAGAACGGGAGGTTATTTCTCCAGCAAGATGTGTGGTGGAGATGGGGAAAAGCAACTGGGGGCAGAGTTCAGGTCGGAGAGAGAAAGTAGCACTGAATTCAAGGTTTTGTATAAAATTCTTCCTTCTCTGTCACTGCCATTCAGAATTTGCTGCTTCCTGCTGGGTAGATCAGCCAGTGCGGTGCAGTGGTTAAGGTGCTGGACCAGGAGTGGGGAGACCCAGGTTCTGGTCCTTCCTTAGGCACAGAAAATGGCTGAGTGACTTTGGATCAGGCACTCTCTCTCTCTTGGCCCTTAGACTAGGAAGTCAAAAAACATCTACAGGTAGTCCCCAGTTAACCTTTTCCCAAGGTCTATCCGTATGTCGAATTTGTATATAACCAGAACAGTAGTAATGGTTCGAGTTCATTACACAGTACTACTTGTATAATACTAAATAAGTAGTACTGTGTAATAAACTTGAACCATTGTGTATTTAACTTGAATCCTTGTGTATTTAACTCAAATTTTGCTACAGTAGGCTCCATTCGTAACTATGGGTCATCCTTAAACCAGGCACTCTTAACTCGGGGCTACCTGTATCTGCCAACCCGCACTGGAACAGCATGGTAGATTATGGTCAATGAAGAGGCCTTCATCCTTTAGTGGATTGATTCAGGCTGGTAACAATATACCAACAATATACACAGACAGACTTACTTTTGTGAGGTACACTTTAAATCCAGGGGAAAAAAATGGAGGTGGAAAGGGTTAGGCTTCCTCTATCATCCTAGGAGGATAAAATAATAAATTTTGAAGGCCATGTGTTAGGTTTAAATTTATCTTTTTCATCCTGGATCTGTTATGTCACATTCACAATGCACTTTGCCCACTTATTTATGGACAATACATTTTCTCAATTTTGTCCTCTGGAATTCCTGGGAAACATGCGTGAAATTATTTGTGAGGAGGAGCAAATTAACAGAAGGAAGAGCTATAGCAGCTGCCCCATTATTCTCAGTTATCCCAAACAGTACCCCAGTTAGAAGGCAGAAGAAATTTTGTAAATGCCTTTGTAAAAGCTATAAGGCTGTTTGTCATACAAGTCCTCTTCATTCTGGTGATAAACAAAATGTCTTTTGCACAAACCTTCCTTTTTTTTAATAATAATTTTTATTGAAGTTTGCAGATACAAAAATAAAAAAACTAATACAAACTAAGAAGAATATAAAAAGTAAAATAAAGGAAGAGAAAAAGGGAAAAAATAAAAAAAAGATATATAAAGAAATGACTTCCCCCTCCATCAAGACAAGTACAAACAACTTCAGTAACATATGACCTTCTCTGATATTTCAACACAATATCTCTTCTTCCCATATCTTATCTCTCATCAATAAACAAGTTATAAAGTCTTATTTAGTCCTAATTAGCAAAAGTCCATTAAGAGTTACCAGAAATAATAACATATATATTTTAGCCTTAATCAAATAAATCAATTTCATAGTCCTTTACTTTTACCTCAGCTTAGGCAAGATGACTTTCCCCTGGCTCTCAGAGCTCTAAAACCCGCCGGAGACTGCTGTCTTATGGTCTCCTTGTGGGGAGCCTCTATATGGAGCACTTGCGGGCGATCCTGGCCCCTCCTTGCTCTGGTGAGGAATTCCGGGGAGCCATCCATTTACCAGCTCCTCTTTCCACTCTGGTCGTTGAAGGCGGAGCTGTCTTCAGTCCACCCTTGCTTCCCCAAAAGTACCCCCCCCATGCCTTCCTGAAGTGGTGAATTACAACTCCAGCAACACGGAAGATGATAGGCACTATAGTCCAACATCTGTGGGAAATGCCAGATTGTAGAAGGTTATTGCAGAGTTGTGCTGGGGAGTGGCAGGAAAGGGAATATATTGTGAATACATCAGTTCTTAAAAAGCAGCAATCTGTTTCTTCACTGGTGATTAGCAGTTCTTAAAATCATAACTGTAGTGAACTTAGCTGTATAACTTCTCCTGTATAAATGTGGGTTTTTGCTATATGTTAATATTCTCTTCTAAGAATTTGTTTTACTTTCTTTTTAGCTTTATTTAGTGTTTCAGATAAAACCGGTCTGGTGGAATTTGCAAAATGTCTGAATTCTTTGGGTTTGGCTTTGGTTGCCTCTGGAGGAACAGCAAAAGTCCTTCGGGATGCAGGTTTGAATGTCAGGTAAAAGTTGTTCATGAGATCACATTTCACACTGAGTACCTGAAAGTAATTGATCTGCCCTGGTTCTGTATTCTCTTAATTGGATTGTTGTTTCACATAGCAAACGAAATTTGATCCTAGATGAGCAAACTTTATGTTTGTGCAACCAACCTCCCCCTCAACACAGTAGTGTTTGAAGAAAAGTACAAAAAAAAAAATGGAAGCAATGAGTGGCCACACTTAAACTGATGTGAGAAGATAAAGATTGCCGAAGGCTTTCACGGCCGGAATACGATGGCTGGTGTGGGTCTTCTGGGCTGCATGGCCGTATTCTGGAAGTTTTGTTTCCTAACGTTTCACCTGGGCACAGAGAGAACTGCTCCTGTCTGTGCTCCTGCCCTCTGAAGATGCCGG